AAATGAGTTTATTGCTGAAGTTTCTTTTCCCTGATGAGAATGAAACACGCGCACACACTTTCTGTCTGAGTTTGTATTTAATGAACTAATAAAATAAAAACCACCTATGTAATGACTCCCGCTCTGTGTATGACCTGAGAATACAGCTGGGCCTCATGACACAGGAGGAAGGGAAGTAAAGAAGCTGAACTACCTGGTAAATTCTGTAAATATCTGTTACTTGATTCCAGCTGTCGATGTACTTTAGTGTGAACAAGTTAGCATAGCCCTGATTGAGCCAAACTCCATTCAGAAAACAATCAAAATGTTGTTTTCTTGTCGTCTTTGTCGTACAGACCTGACCAAACATGAAGTCAGACTTTTAACAAATCAGCATCATGGTCTATTTATTTCTGAATCATTTTCATCAGTTTGTTGCAACAGTTTAGGTTTTTATTTATGTAGTAACCCAGACTAGCCCAGGAGGGATCCCACGTGATCCTGCAGTGAACACGTTCAGGTGTTGTAATCAGACAGGGGAGCTCCTGTTGGTGTGGACAGGTTGAAGGGGGCGCCACCTGCAGGCCTGACTCCACCTACACGCTCACCTTTATCTGCTTGTTTATGTCTGGATGTCATGTTTCCATGGTTACAGTCCAGCTTACAGGGAAATGAACATTTGAAAATTCGGCTTTGTGCAATGACTTTAACATGTTTGACTCACTAACAGTCTGGTTCACACTGGTTTACTGTAATTTCACCACAACACTAAATCGATGTGTTATACATGTTCAGGATTATTTATAATACTTCATATTTCCTGTTGTGATTCTGGTTAGAGCCAGCACACACACAGCATGATAAATATGGTAAGCAACTCTTAATTTACGGTCATCTGACGCCATCTTTCCCCAACATTAACCACATTTCCCAGTTGTCTCTTGTTTAGTGATGCTAATTTAAGTGACGTAAGTAAAGTACTTATTTTGACCCAAACCATGATCTTTTCCTAAACCTAAGTAGTTCTGCTGCCTAAACTTAATCAAACTGCAACATTAACCATTAGCTTTATTTTGAAAGTCTAACTGGACGTTTCGTGCGTCATGTGAAAAAACAACACTAAAGGTACTTGGGGCGGCAAAAAATGATACCAAGGGGTCTGACAAAGCGTCCGTATGCGGCGCCCGGGAATGACAACAGGTTGGTTTTGTTTGTCTGATAAGAGGACAACACGTATGTGCGTAACCACACAGGTGACATATTTCACAGCAGTACACTGATGTTGGTTAAAGGTGAAAGAAACACACTAAATAAAAATGGATGTAAAGAAGTGTTTTGAAATTCAGCTCAGAGATTCACACAATGAGTTTTTATACAACACTCTGAATGTTAACAGAGAGATTTCCAGGATCCACAAAGCAACAAAGGTCCATGTGATTTAATGTTGTCCCACAGTGAATTGCTGTGTGGTAAGACTGAACCCTGCAGCACTAACTGACAGCTGTCCATCATGAGTTCAGGTCTGACATTACAACCTGTTCATTCAGTATTCATCACACTGGTCCCAGTTTAACACTGGGATTAAATGGGCAGATATTGGATTTATGTCAGTGCACCTGAACGCACCGTCTCAGTTTACGGAATGACCCACTTGGTGAGGCCACGCCCCCTGGAGGGGAACACAGAGGTGTTATACTACATGATGTTGTGATTCAGTGTTATACCTCCTCAGTGTATTTAAAACTAATGCAAATATAACTAATAACTAATATTTATGCAGTAGATGTACTACAGTCTTTCACATATTGACAGTTGTTGTATGCCACAATATATACAGTATATTCTACATACCAGTGTGTATGTGTGTTTTTATACATATATGTATATATATATGTATATATATATATATATATATATAATAGGAGGTGATGTCTGGCTCCCTCGATCTTCCCTGTCGTCATTTCTCTGTCATTTGCTGATGTGATTGTATATATTAACATATTTTTATAGATGTTCGCATAGTGTAATATATATTTACATTGTGTGTGTATATGTATATACTGTTTATTCCTATATATTTAGACGGTGGTGGTCTCTGGCTCTGTCTCGGTGTTCCCTGCGATCATTTCTCTCAGTCCTTTGCTGAACTGAAGATTGGCTCCGATCACGATGAAACCCTGCAGAGATCAATACACTGCTGTCAGAACTAGGGGGCAGCACTTAGTGAGTATATCACCATAATACACAGACCGTTTACAATCAGAGTACAACATGTAAAAACTTGTGTAAACAGACTTACATTGTGATATTCAACAACCTCCTCAATGAAATCCATCCCATCAGCCAGAGGAATCCGAACTCCTCTCTTTGTCCAGTCTGAACACACACACACACACACACACACACAGTCTGTAGAACGTCTGTAGAACGTCAGGGCCACAATGTGTTACAGTAGAAACCGTGCTGAACACTTACTGTTGATTAAAGGAACCACAGACATCTGCAACATGGTCTTCAGAGGAACCTGCAGAGGAATCAGCTGACAGACAGACGAGTTCTTACTGCCCTGATGTCAGAGTAAATGCTCGTATCTCCGCCTCTATCTAGTTAATGTTGTAACTTGTAGTATAAGATGAAGTAATACACAGAAGACACTTACTGCCAGAGATTCCAGTGCGGATTGATTGGAGAAGATTTTAAACCTGAAAGAAGAAAACCGTTTTGGTCAGAGTGATGTGATCAATAACAAACAGCGAGAAATCTGGGGTTTTGGGTCTCGCCCAAGGACACTTGAACCAGCAGACTGGTCGACCTCAGAGTTGATGTCAGATTTGCCAAGTTAGAGGACAACATTTACAAGAGCGGTGTTGTCCACTCTTACTGTTGGTTGGGTAAATGGCTGGTTGGGTGGAGGATGATGTAGGACCTGGGTCTTGATGTTTAATGCTAGGCCCAGGGCTCTGAATGTCCTGGCAAAGCTCTGTAGGTCTTCTGCGGAGTGTGCCGCGATCAGGTGTTGCTGACTTTCCTCTTGGCCTTGAACTTACTAAGGTTGCAGAGCCTGGTGTCAATTCGGTACAGGACTGGGATCCCCTGTGGCAACAATTGAAGATGGCAAACTGTGGGTGCAATAGTGCATCCCTGTTTGACCCCTGTTTCCACAGTGAAGGGCTCAGACTGTGATCGACATACCGTTGAAGCCTTCTTATGCTTCTCATGGCAGCCGTACCTTGATAGTATGCTCCACAGAGCCTGGTGGTTTTTGTTAGGTCTATGAAGGCCAAGTTCAGGTCCCAGGTAAGGCTGCCTTTGTTCATGAAGTTTGGCTGTAAATAATGAGAATGCAGGTGGAAAGAAAACCACCAATGGAACCTCTAACGTTACGCCAGCATGCCAACGTGGCTGCGGACACGAAGAAGACGACAGTGAGATGGAACTTGAGCCTGGGCTAGCTAAAACACTTTAACACTTTTACTGATGACTGATCAACTAATGACTATTAATGAGAAACTCGATTGTCCGGCTAAAACAGTCCTGGAGAAGTGCTGGAGAACATAAGAACAATGAAAGAACATACACATTTTTAACATGCCAGAGAGGTCTTGAGCTGTGGAGTCTGAAACTGTGGGGTCTGGATCTGTGGAGTCTGGAGCTGTGGGGTCTGGAGCTGTGGGGTCTTGAGCTGTGGTTTCTGAAGCTGTGGGGTCTGGACCTGTGGGGTCTGGAGCTGTGGGGTCTGGAGCTGTGGGGTCTGGAGCTGTGGGTTCTGGAGCTGTGGAGTCTGGAGCTGTGGGTTCTGGAGCTGTGGGTTCTGAAGCTGTGGGGTCTGGAGCTATGGAGTCTGGAGCTGTGGGTTCTGAAGCTGTGGGGTCTTGAGCTGTGGTTTCTGAAGCTGTGGGGTCTGGACCTGTGGGGTCTGGAGCTGTGGAGTCTGGAGCTGTGGAGTCTGGAGCTGTGGGGTCTGGAGCTGTGGGGTCTGGAGCTGTGGGTTCTGGAGCTGTGGGGTCTGGAGCTGTGGGTTCTGAAGCTGTGGGGTCTGGAGCTGTGGGTTCTGGAGCTGTGGGTTCTGAAGCTGTGGGGTCTGGAGCTGTGGAGTCTGGAGCTGTGGGGTCTGGAGCTGTGGGTTCTGGAGCTGTGGGGTCTGGAGCTGTGGGGTCTGGAGCTGTGGGTTCTGAAGCTGTGGGGTCTGGAGCTGTGGGTTCTGAAGCTGTGGGGTCTGGAGCTGTGGAGTCTGAAGCTGTGGAGTCTGGAGCTGTGGAGTCTGGAGCTGTGGGTTCTGAAGCTGTGGGGTCTGGACCTGTGGGTTCTGAAGCTGTGGGGTCTGAAGCTGTGGGGTCTGGAGCTGTGGAGTCTGGAGCTGTGGGGTCTGGAGCTGTGGGGTCTGGACCTGTGGGTTCTGAAGCTGTGGGGTCTGGAGCTGTGGAGTCTGAAGCTGTGGAGTCTGGAGCTGTGGGGTCTGGAGCTATGGAGTCTGGAGCTGTGGGTTCTGAAGCTGTGGGGTCTGGACCTGTGGAGTCTGGAGCTGTGGGGTCTGGAGCTGTGGGTTCTGGAGCTGTGGAGTCTGGAGCTGTGGGTTCTGAAGCTGTGGGTTCTGAAGCTGTGGGGTCTGGAGCTGTGGGTTCTGAAGCTGTGGAGTCTGGAGCTGTGGAGTCTGGAGCTGTGGGGTCTGGAGCTGTGGAGTCTGGAGCTGTGGAGTCTGGAGCTGTGGAGTCTGGAGCTGTGGGGTCTGGAGCTGTGGAGTCTGGAGCTGTGGGTTCTGGAGCTGTGGGGTCTGGAGCTGTGGGGTCTGGAGCTGTGGAGTCTGGAGCTGTGGAGTCTGGAGCTGTGGGGTCTGGAGCTGTGGGTTCTGGAGCTGTGGGGTCTGGAGCTGTGGAGTCTGAAACTGTGGGGTCTGAAGCTTTGGGTTCTGGAGCTGTGGGTTCTGGAGCTCCCCATGAGTTAAAATTTAGCTGTGATGGCTGACAGAAGTGTATTCTTGGTTTCCCCAGTCGGTCAGTTCCTGTATGTTTAATATGTTGGTTAACGTCCAAACAGGTTTCAGCACTGGAGACCCAAACCAGCGTGACCAGCTGTGTGTGTGTTTGTGTGTGTGTGTGTGTGTGTAGGTGTGTGTGTGTGTGCGTGCATACCTGCGGAGGTCAGCATGAATAGCCAGACGTTTTCCCGTCATAGAAACTTTGGCGTTAAACTTTGTTTCCTGCAGAACAGAATGAAAATGAAAACAGCTGTTGATGTTTGGATTCTTAAGTAACTGACCTTTAAAACTGGTTAAACTGGTTGGGTTGGTTTCTGCGTACCATGGTCATGCTGCTGAGCTGGCCCGGAGGCTGACCTGGTTAAACTTGTTAAACTGGTTGGGTTGGTGTCTGCGTACCATGGTCATGCTGTTGAGCTGGACTGGAGACCTACCAGGTTAAACTAGTTAAACTGGTTAAACTGGTTGGGTTGGTGTCTGCGTACCATGGTCATGCTGCTGAGCTGGCCCGGAGGCTGACCTGGTTAAACTAGTTAAACTGGTTAAACTGGTTGGGTTGGTGTCTGCGTACCATGGTCATGCTGTTGAGCTGGACTGGAGGCTGACCTGGTTAAACTAGTTAAACTGGTTGGGTTGGTGTCTGCGTACCATGGTCATGCTGTTGAGCTGGACTGGAGACCTACCTGGTTAAACTGGTTAAACTGGTTGGGTTGGTGTGTGCATACCATGGTCATGCTGCTGAGCGGGCCCGGAGGCTGACCTGGTTAAACTAGTTAAACTGGTTAAACTGGTTGGGTTGGTGTGTGCGTACCATGGTCATGCTGTTGAGCTGGACTGGAGACCTACCAGGTTAAACTGGTTAAACTGGTTAAACTGGTTGGGTTGGTGTGTGCGTACCATGGTCATGCTGTTGAGCTGGACTGGAGACCTACCTGTTTAAACTAGTTAAACTGGTTAAACTGGTTGGGTTGGTGTGTGCGTACCATGGTCATGCTGTTGAGCTGGACTGGAGGCTGACCTGGTTAAACTAGTTAAACTGGTTAAACTGGTTGGGTTGGTGTGTGCGTACCATGGTCATGCTGTTGAGCTGGACTGGAGGCTGACCTGGTTAAACTAGTTAAACTGGTTAAACTGGTTGGGTTGGTGTGTGCGTACCATGGTCATGCTGTTGAGCTGGACTGGAGACCTACCAGGTTAAACTAGTTAAACTGGTTAAACTGGTTGGGTTGGTGTGTGCGTACCATGGTCATGCTGTTGAGCTGGACTGGAGACCTACCTGTTTAAACTAGTTAAACTGGTTAAACTGGTTGGGTTGGTGTCTGCGTACCATGGTCATGCTGTTGAGCTGGCCCGGAGGCTGACCTGGTTAAACTAGTTAAACTGGTTAAACTGGTTGGGTTGGTGTGTGCGTACCATGGTCATGCTGCTGAGCTGGACTGGAGGCTGACCTGGTTAAACTAGTTAAACTGGTTAAACTGGTTGGGTTGGTGTGTGCGTACCATGGTCATGCTGTTGAGCTGGACTGGAGGCTGACCTGGTTAAACTAGTTAAACTGGTTAAACTGGTTGGGTTGGTGTCTGCGTACCATGGTCATGCTGTTGAGCTGGACTGGAGACCTACCTGTTTAAACTAGTTAAACTGGTTAAACTGGTTGGGTTGGTGTGTGCGTACCATGGTCATGCTGTTGAGCTGGACTGGAGACCTACCAGGTTAAACTAGTTAAACTGGTTAAACTGGTTGGGTTGGTGTGTGCGTACCATGGTCATGCTGTTGAGCTGGACTGGAGACCTACCTGTTTAAACTAGTTAAACTGGTTAAACTGGTTGGGTTGGTGTCTGCGTACCATGGTCATGCTGTTGAGCTGGCCCGGAGGCTGACCTGGTTAAACTAGTTAAACTGGTTAAACTGGTTGGGTTGGTGTGTGCGTACCATGGTCATGCTGCTGAGCTGGCCTGGAGGCTGACCTGGTTAAACTAGTTAAACTGGTTAAACTGGTTGGGTTGGTGTGTGCGTACCATGGTCATGCTGTTGAGCTGGACTGGAGACCTACCAGGTTAAACTGGTTAAACTGGTTGGGTTGGTGTGTGCGTACCATGGTCATGCTGTTGAGCTGGACTGGAGACCTACCAGGTTAAACTAGTTAAACTGGTTAAACTGGTTGGGTTGGTGTCTGCGTACCATGGTCACGCTGTTGAGCTGGACTGGAGACCTACCTGGTTAAACTGGTTAAACTGGTTGGGTTGGTGTGTGCGTACCATGGTCACGCTGTTGAGCTGGACTGGAGACCTACCTGGTTAAACTGGTTAAACTGGTTAAACTGGTTGGGTTGGTGTGTGCGTACCATGGTCATGCTGCTGAGCTGGACCGGAGGCTGACTTGGAGGCAGCAGCATCACCTTAATGATGGCTGTCATGACGACTGTTGCCCCGGATGTCTTGATGGAGGTTTTTGGAGGTGAGACCACGGCGATCTGCAGAGAGAGCGGAGCATCCACCAGAGCCGGGTTCTGCCCAGAACACACAGGGAGAACACATAGTATTGCAGTACTACACCGGGTTCTATCCAGAAAACATATATGTAGTATAGTACTACAATAATAAAGTACAACAGCTCTGTGCAGTACTTATGTAATAATACCCAGTAATAATATGCAGAATTAAATAGTACACAGTTTATCAGTAGATCACAGTAGTCTGACTAATAATAAATAGATTGTTTCCACTGTGTCTCAACTTTATGTCACTGTGTCTCTGCTATTTCTGCTGTCTCTGTTTTTCTACTATATCTCCACTGTGTGACTATTTCTGTGGTGGTTCTGCTCACCAGCATCATGATGGTTCCAAAGTAGGTGGTTCTCAACAACATCTCCAGGTCTTTGGGCATCTGAAGGATGAGACAACAAACAGGAACAGGATCAGTTCAGCTCTGAGGAGCAACCTTGTCCTGTTTGCTTTGGTGGTTCAGGGTTACAGTCCAATCTGTTTTAGAGCTTCAGTCATATTATGAGGAAATGGAAGCCAGAGTGCACCAGCGTCCTGTCAGCGTCATGAGGGTCTATGTTTACAGGGAAGGAGCATGGCGTTCAGGGGACTATCTGGAAGACTTTGTGGTGTCTTGCGGTTGTTTTGGGGGTCTATGGTGGTTTTATAGGGTCTCTGATAGTTTTGGGGGTCTGTAGTGATTTTTGGCAGTCTTTGGTGATTTTCAGGGTCTATGGTGGTATTCAAGATCTGTGGTGGTTTTGAAGGTCTGTAGTGGTTTTTAGTTGTCTGTGATGGTTTTGAAGGTCTGTGGGGGTGTTGGAGGTCTGTAGTGATTTTTGGTAGTCTGTGGTGGTTGTGACCTTCTCGTTGACGATATGCATCTGGAAGACTCCTGCTCTGTAGTAAGCAAACATCCCACTGTCGAAGAAGAACTCGGACAGAGCGAGGTAAATCATCCGGTCGTACTCTCTGATGACCGGGTCGACGGCGTAGTTCACTAACGTGTCATTCTGATCAGACAGGTCGAAGAACATACCCTGCAGACACAATACACTCACTGTTACTGTCATCTTACACCAGATTCTAAAAGATCATCAGTGTCGGAGACTGACCCTGAAGTGCATGTCGAGGCTCCTGGACGTCACCACCGGATCATCAATCAGAGAATAATCGATCCCAATATACTGATCGACCTCCGTCCTCACTGGGATTGTCTCCAACATCAAGTTCACATGAACCAGAGCAGCGTGATCCAGAGCGGGACAGATCTAATAAAGAGACAGGTCAGAGAGACAGAGACAGGTTAGTGGGATAGCCAGGTGAGACAGACAGACAGACAAACAGACAGACATACAGACAGACAGGTGTGAGACCTTTTGGTTGAGGAGGAAGCGCATGCCTGTTGTCAGAAAACTGGATAGGAAGTCGTAAACTCTCCTGAAACAAAATACACGTGATGACAGTTCCTGATTGGTTCTGAGGTCACATGATGTTGGTGATTAGATATTATTGATAGTTAATTGTTGATCAGTGATTATTTATTCATTATCATTATTGATTATTACATTGGTGTAATTAACAGTAATCATTATTGATGACCAAATCAATTCTATTAACAATAATCATTAATCATTGTTGATTAGTACATCAGTGTGTTTACCCAAGTGTTCCGCTGAACTTTGCCTTCATTTTGTCAATTTTGGCATCACAGGTGATGTTATTGATCTTCAGTCGTCCTTCATCATCTCTGATTAGATTCAGAACCGTGTTGATGTTCACGCCTTCAGCCGACGCGTTGATGTTTCCTGTGTCATAACTGAGATAGAACAAGACTTCATCACCGACAGGAAGATGACTGTCCTCATCATCATCTTCATCATATGATCATTCAACTATCTGGATTCAAACAGGTCAGATTATATTAGTTACATTAGTGTTGAGTAGAAGAACCATCACAGTTATATTAGTGATATGTAGGAGAACTACTTGAGTTATATTATTGTTCTGTGGAAGAACTATTGGCGTTATAATAATGATATGTAGGAGAACTATTAGAGTTATATTAGTGTTATATAGGAGAACTATTCAAATGCTTTAGTGTCCTGTAGGAGAACTATTAGAGTTATGTTAGTATTCTGTAGGAGAACCGTTAGAATTACATTAGTGTTCTAGAGGAGAACTATTAGTTATATTTGTGCTGTCTAGGAGAACTATTAGTTATATTAGTGATATGTAGAAGAACTACTTGTGTTCTGTAGAAGAACTATTAGAGTAATATTAGTGTTCTATAGGACAATGATTAGAGTGGAGTAACTGTTCTATAGAAGAATGATTAGTTATATTAGGGTTCTATAGGAGAATGATTAGAGTTAATCAGTGTTCTACATAAGAACAATTAGAATCTAGTTAGTGTTATATAGGAGAATGATTAGAGTTAAGTCAGTGTTCTGTGGGAGAACTAACAAGAACCAGTAGAGGATCCGTCGGTGGAAACTCAGTGATATCGATGAGTTCTGAACATCGAACAACAAACCAACTTCAGGGATGAATTGGAGGTCAGCATGAGTAAGATTCAACTCTTTTATCTTCACACTGATGACAGACGAGAGAAAGAGAACCTATTAATACACATGTTAAGTATTCACTTCTAAAGTATTGCCTTAACGTAATATTAGTACTCAGTGATGTTGTATTGGAAGCGTCCTTCGTTGCCATTCATCTCTGGCATACTGATGTTACCGAGCTCCTCTTGAACAAACTTCTGAGTCTCAAATTTCACTAAAAACACAGAAAATTTACTGTCAGGACTTTAAACAGAACAAATACAAATAGACCAAACTAACCCAACTGCAGATGAAAGGGTTAATGAAACAGAGACACAAGGTTGTTGAGGGTTTCTGATTGGACGCTGCCACTGATGTCATCTGCCCTTAATGAAGACTTAACTAGTTCAGATAAAACATTTATTAAACAGACCGGTTTAGCACATCACAGGTTTTAGACTCCAGAGCAAAAACTTAGAGCTGCAGGAGAACAGAGGAGCTGCTTTATGATTACACAGGTTTAATTTGAAGTTAATATCTGTTCAGGTCTTAGTTTACTTCTGGATTATAATTACATAACCATATATTTACACATCTCCAGTCCTTTGTCAGTGATGCGGATTTTGCAGCCAGCAGGTTGGGCGGCAGCCATGATGGAGGACACCAAAGGGAAGAAGAAGAGGAGGGACAACAGACATGAGGTCATCCTGAGACAGAACATGCCGACCTGAAACACAGAAGAAGCAGTTTAAAATCCTATATTAGAGGCTGGACTCAGTCTGTGTTGTGTCTGTGTTGTCAGATTGGTTCCGAGGTTCTGGTTCTAGCTTCTAGCTTCTGAGTTTACTCCAGGTCTTGTTGGGGCACCCTAGAGGGCACTGCATCATGTTTCCCTGAATGTTGGGGCACCCTAGAGGGCACTGCATCATGTTTCCCTGAATGTTGGGGCACCCTAGAGGGCACTGCATCATGTTTCCCTGAATGTTGGGGCACCCTAGAGGGCACTGCATCATGTTTAATTAAACGTTGGGGCACCCTAGAGGGCACTGCATCATGTTTAATTAAACGTTGGGGCACCCTAGAGGGCACTGCATCATGTTTCCCTGAATGTTGGGGCACCCTAGAGGGCACTGCATCATGTTTAATTAAACGTTGGGGCACCCTAGAGGTCACTGCATCATGTTTCCCTGAATGTTGGGGCACCCTAGAGGTCACTGCATCATGTTTAATTAAACGTTGGGGCACCCTAGAGGTCACTGCATCATGTTTAATTAAACGTTGGGGCACCCTAGAGGGCACTGCATCATGTTTCCCTGAATGTTGGGGCACCCTAGAGGGCACTGCATCATGTTTCCCTGAATGTTGGGGCACCCTAGAGGGCACGGCATCATGTTTAATTAAACGTTGGGGCACCCTAGAGGTCACTACATCATGTTTAATTAAACGTTGGGGCACCCTAGAGGGCACTGCATCATGTTTCCCTGAATGTTGGGGCACCCTAGAGGGCACTGCATCATGTTTAATTAAACGTTGGGGCACCCTAGAGGGCACTGCATCATGTTTAATTAAACGTTGGGGCACCCTAGAGGGCACGGCATCATGTTTAATTAAACGTTGGGGCACCCTAGAGGGCACTGCATCATGTTTAATTAAACGTTGGGGCACCCTAGAGGGCACGGCATCATGTTTAATTAAACGTTGGGGCACCCTAGAGGGCACTGCATCATGTTTCCCTGAATGTTGGGGCACCCTAGAGGGCACGGCATCATGTTTAATTAAACGTTGGGGCACCCTAGAGGGCACTGCATCATGTTTCCCTGAATGTTGGGGCACCCTAGAGGGCACTGCATCATGTTTAATTAAACGTTGGGGCACCCTAGAGGGCACGGCATCATGTTTAATTAAACGTTGGGGCACCCTAGAGGGCACTGCATCATGTTTAATTAAACGTTGGGGCACCCTAGAGGGCACTGCATCATGTTTAATTAAACGTTGGGGCACCCTAGAGGGCACGGCATCATGTTTAATTAAACGTTGGGGCACCCTAGAGGGCACTGCATCATGTTTAATTAAACGTTGGGGCACCCTAGAGGGCACGGCATCATGTTTAATTAAACGTTGGGGCACCCTAGAGGGCACTGCATCATGTTTCCCTGAATGTTGGGGCACCCTAGAGGGCACGGCATCATGTTTCCCTGAATGTTGGGGCACCCTAGAGGGCACTGCATCATGTTTCCCTGAATGTTGGGGCACCCTAGAGGGCACGGCATCATGTTTAATTAAACGTTGGGGCACCCTAGAGGGCACTGCATCATGTTTCCCTGAATGTTGGGGCACCCTAGAGGGCACTGCATCATGTTTCCCTGAATGTTGGGGCACCCTAGAGGGCACTGCATCATGTTTAATTAAACGTTGGGGCACCCTAGAGGGCACTGCATCATGTTTAATTAAACGTTGGGGCACCCTAGAGGGCACTGCATCATGTTTCCCTGAATGTTGGGGCACCCTAGAGGGCACGGCATCATGTTTAATTAAACGTTGGGGCACCCTAGAGGGCACTGCATCATGTTTCCCTGAATGTTGGGGCACCCTAGAGGGCACTGCATCATGTTTAATTAAACGTTGGGGCACCCTAGAGGGCACTGCATCATGTTTAATTAAACGTTGGGGCACCCTAGAGGGCACTGCATCATCTTTTCTCAGTGTAACATTAATGAACTAAAACTAATGTTACATGATCAACAATAAACCTGTAACCTGTTTGCAGCCCGTGTTAATAATTAACGTGATGACAGCCAGCGGGACGTTAATGATTATGTTAATCGTCCACCACAAGTTTGGCAAGTAAACAAACGCTCATTCATCTTTTCATAAGGAATGACAGTGGGGCCTAACCTCTCGTAGGTCGTAGCTAAAGCAAGAAGCAAGCTAACGTTTGATGGCCATTGCTAAGCTAAATATGTTCACTAACATATTTTGGTTTCAGCGCTTCTTTGTTTTGTTGGATGAAGTTTTAATGTCAAAGTTTATGATGAATGGCTCAGCAGCTGCCGCTGTTTGTTGTCCTCTCCCTCGTGCGGTAACGCAGGGAGGGGAATAATAGCAAGCTCATCTGACGTTTCCTAAAAATAAACATTGTTCGCGAGTCCCGCACCTCGAGTCCAAGTGGAGCCTAAGTCTTTTGAGGACGAGTCTCAAGTCGAGTCTAAGGTCACTGTGTGGGCGACTTAAGTCTCAAACTGTAGTCCCTGTCTATGGTTTCTGTGTAGTGGTGATCTGTGACTTTTGCTGCTTTCAACAGATGTTATACTGTTTATTGTGACCTCCAGATGTTTTTCGATAGTGAAGATCTGATCTGTTGGTGTTGAAAGCTGCTCTGCTCCTTTGATAGAGAGGGTTGCAAGTTGATGCAGTTGTGCAACATGTCATGTTTAACTGACACCGATTTAAAATGATGGCCACATGGCAATTTCATTTCTGACAGGAAGTTGCAGCAGTGCACTGAGGTAAGAGGTCACAATGAACGAACACATTTAAGGGTTTTTGTTCCCTCGGTTTCTCCATAGCTCAGAGCTGAACACATTCTCAACTTGAACTGCAGTAACCTCTGTTTCACAACAGCCCCTCCCCTCTGTCCCTTTCACTCTCAGCAGCCTCCCGACACTCCTGACCTTTTCTCTCAGTAAAACAAACCGAACTGATGAATCTCAGCAACAGTCCGGCAGGAAGAGACGCTGAACAGTTCTACTGTAAATCTGTCCCTGTGATTTTATTAAAATGTCTTATTTTATGTTTGAGTTGCTCATAGCATCAGGAGGTCTCATTCACGTACAGAGTCTCTGACACTTTTTACCTTCTGTGCAGAGGTGCATGCAGACCCTCACGGACTGGAGAATTGATCATGAGCAATCATTGAAATGTCAGTGTATCTGAGCTACTGTCCCTAACCTTAGCCATACCCCTGACCTGCTTTCATGTTCATTTTGTCATACTGGTGAGCTGCCACGCTGTTCACAAGAGAAACATTCATTGGTATCACTGAGACAGCAAACAAGGTGGCCCTAGCACACAGAATGTGTAGACAACATGGTGGAGTTCGGTGGTGAAGGGTTAATGCTCACTAACTTATCCATTATTGTGGCTTTAACATCCCATTAAAATATCTAAATTAGATCATTATTGATTTATGAATTAATGAGATGTTGAGGTAAATAGTCAAAGAAGTCAGTGGCAGATGTCGTGAGAACACGAGATCTATTTTAACTGGACCTGAGAGATCAAACAGGACACAGTCTTCCTCTGAGGGTAATTTAACATGTTGGTCTGAACACGAGCCAGCTTTATACAAATTCACAACGTCGGACCCGAAGAAGACACACACATTAATGATAAGGTCTGAAGCTTCAAACAGCCTTTGAAGAGCCGAATGTCCTCAGAAGTACAGAAATACATTACGACGCACACTTACTCTGTAATCTGTGTGTTTAATTACAGCTCAGTGACGACAGCCAATCACCAAACAGCTACCCACATCTGGACATCTGGCTAACCACTAACTGTTTACTGCTGAGCTTAAATTAAACAGAGAAGAGGATTTAGGCTGCAGCCCAGAGGAAGGCTCCTGACTGAGCGACAGCCCCCATGAGAGCTGGTCCAGGTCTCTATGTGCTCCTTTCTTACCTCCTCTAACATAGCGTACTCTGCGCCATCCTTTACAATAGGGAAAGGAGATGATGCCGTCCCACAATTCCTTGTGGCAGTAACATTTTGATCGGCAGACCCACAGAAAGGTAGAAAGGAAGAAAGGTATGCTTGTGACACGACCGCAAACATACGAAAATGGTCATTGGCTGTAAATCCATAAATATAGATTTCTTTTTCAAACCCCGTAACAATAACCCAGTTAGTTAACAATATCATCAGAACTAAATACTATATACTACATAATACTAAATAAATGTTGTTTCACTTCCTCATTGTGAAATGCACTAAAACAAAAGGTCAAAGTGTGACGCCAGGAAACTCTGCATCCTTATGTCTGAATATAATTTGCTTTTGCCCTTTGCTCAATTCCTTCTTTTTATTTAATTATTATTTTAATGGGTCAAACTTATTCTACTTCTATATTCCTTTTGTTATTATATAATTGAATCTTACATTCTGTAAGTAAGTACCCTGATTCATATATACTGTAAGAGACTGGATGACTAGTTGGTACTTATTGTTAAGTAAGACCTTTCTCTAAAGCAGAAAGGGCTGTTTACCATAAGCACTCTGTTTTCCAATGATCCAGGTTGTCAGTGAATGTGCGATATGTTTAGATGCCTGTCAATCAACTGTGTTCGTACCTGTAATTGGCAGAGAGTTAAGAGGGATGGTTGTTATTGTTCCTGGTGGGCCAAAGGGAGGTCGTGTGAGCCAAGGGGAGGGGGACGGAGAGTTGAGAAGGAGAGCCTAGTTTACACTAGGCGTTTTGCTGCTCGGCAACCCCTGTGATCAGGGGTAGTCGCCAGTCGTTATGTGTGAACTACTCAACGACGCATCAAAACAGTTCTCCGACACATTTATGACACATCGCCGACGCCAGCCAGATATCTAGCCTGCCAAATATCTGGAAGAGTCTGCTGACTCGACATCCACATCCAGCCAATGAGAGCAGGCAGCTCTCTCTGTAGCTCAGACTGCTGCTACCTGCGTGTGCTGATCCATCCTTTCACCCAGAGTCATTGTCTTTAGAATAACAAACAGCTGTTTCCTGTGTAGGGTCGCGTCATTTCCTGTTTCACGTGGTTTGGAGACCAGCGTCGGGCGACACAGCCGCTGTCAGCTCCTGTAGCGTGTGACCCCCCGTCATCGATCAGTCACGTAGTGTGAACACCACGACGACTTCAAGACTCCCGTCACAAGACGGCAAGTCGTGTAGTGTGAACGGCACCGTGGTCGGCTGACGCTGAAAGTCGTGGAGTCTGCACGAGGCATTAGCGTGTAGCGCTTAGTGACAGTAGAGTGTTTTTTGGCGTTGGCTACGGCCCATAGCAGCCTATATTTTGTTCTGCAATAAGGAACGAGCAAAACCAGCTATCATCTCGGAGCTTCTAATTTGAGGGACGCTACAGTACTGTAAGTTACTATATATATATATATATGTATCTATCTCTAACTTTGTCATCATGATTGGTCACAATGTTATTTTATTATGTCGGTCTGCTCTGAAGACACAACATCTACTTCCTGTCTGTCCGTCCTGGAGACGGTCCCTCTGCCACTCTTCCTTTCCTCATTGAATCAGAGAGCTAAGCCTCTGGAGGCAAATTTGTGATATTGGGTATATGAATAAAAATGGACTTTAAATCAGCTCCACCATAGACAACAGTAATAATAATATGTAAATGTACATTTAGCTGATAATACTTTTACTGCAGTAACGTTTTAAATACACTGTGGTAATGATACTTTTACTTCAGTAAAAACTCTGAGGACTTCTTCCACTGCTGACACACTGATCAGTCATGAAGCATCAAAACGTGAAAATAAAGTGACAGAAAAAAGTGTTCTGAAAAACAGCCTCCTCAGGGGGGCGCTGGAGAGCTGGATGCAAAGATGCTGCCGGAGGTGAACTGGAGTCAGAAATCGGACTTCTGCTCAGAGTCACAGCTCAGTCATGAACTTTCAACGTGACCCACATGTGGACTACGATCAGTGAACAAAGCAGGTGGTAAAATCAGCCCAGACCGAAGCTTCATCAGAGATCAGAGATCAGAGGCAGCAGGGTGCTGATGGAGCAGTGGATAAGATGCCTGCCTTTGGTGTGAGAGAGACCCGGGTTCAATCCCCCACTGTGTCCCATCCACCATTGTGTCCCTGAGAAAGACACTTAACCCCTCGTTGCTCCAGAGGCGTGCGACCTCTGACATGTAGAGCATTGTAAGTCGCTTTGGATAGAAGCGTCAGTGAAATGAATAAATGTAAATGCAGCAGGATTTAGTTAAAGAAACAGACTACAGACGAGGCCGGACCACATCAAGTATAAACAATAGAGTAACTGTATATACTGTACTATATATATTGTAACACACACTCTGCTGAACATCCACTCCAGCGTCTCCTCAAACGGATCATAAACATCCAGCAGGACTCCTCACACCCCGGGAAGCCCTTCTTCACCACCCTCCCCTCAGGCAGACCGAGAAGCCCAGCAGCACAAACCCATCACCACCACGGGGGCCACTTAGCCCCCCCCTTGTACACACTTGTACAAACACAACTCACACATCAAAAGTACACATCTACACAACATAACAATAACTTCTGTTTTTTGTCTTACTGCTATATACGAATTTTTAAATATATTTTTAATATATTTTATATTAAAGTTTATATTTTATATTTAAGTATCTTTTTTAGATTATGAGTAAGAACATTTCTCGTGGCTTAAGTGCAATAACTGGTGACCAACGACCTCTGTGAAATAAACTTTACTCTATTTATTGGTACTAGAAGCTGCTAAGATGAGATTGCTTCAACAGAATTTTGTTCGAACACGCAAAGACAATAAGGATCGATCGATCTAATATACAGCAACACAATCTAATATACTGGAATATAGTACTCACTTGTCCATGATCTCTCTCTCTTTCCCTTCCTGTCTCTCTCTCCCCCTCTCTCCCTCTCTCCCTCTCTCTCTCTCTCTCTCTCTCTCTCTCTCTCTCTCTCTCAGCCCAACTGGTTTCAGTAACGGAGGAACTGGGAATGTCTGAGTGATGAAACTCACGGATCAGCAGACTGAAGGAGGAGGAGCTCAGATCTGATGGTTCCACTGGTTTAGGTTCTGTTGGTTCTGTAGTTGATCTCTGTTCACACTGACCGTCTCTCTCTGTGTGGAGACTTTTATCCCGAGGCAGTGACTCCTCCCCCTCCCCCTCCCCCCTGTGGGAGAGTGTGGTCTTTGTGAGGGAGAGTGGAGCTTGATTTCAGAAGTGAACACAAACACATCAGGCCTCAATGATTCAAAATCTTCACTGTACATTTTAGAATTCACTGAGACAAAAATGACCAAAATCACCAACCGCCTGAGGGCTGGATTCAAAATCCCACCGAAGTAAAGAAACTGAATCCACAGCTGATCAAACCTGATGACTTCCATCATGGCAACTCATGATGTGACTCAGTGGTGTGTTTGGCCCCCGGGTGCCTGATTCATTCCCCAAAACATCTGGGCTCCTGCTGACTGTGGATACTGTCCTGGGGGATCTCCTCCCAGACCTGGATCAGGGCATCAGTGAGCTCTTACATGATCTGGCCAGGAGGGAATCCAGGTTCCACTGCACCAGGAGGAATCAGGACCCACTGCACCAGAAAGAACCCAGGACCACTGCACCAGGAGCAATCCAGGGCCCCCCACTGCAATCTTTCCTTAGAGTCCTGGGGGTGTATAGGTCCTGGAGGGGTGTACCGATAGGTGGGGTGAGAGGGTATGGTGTCAGGTCTGTCCCATTGTCTTTCAAAACGACAGTAAAACCGGTTCTGTTCATTGGTTAGGCGAGAGTCGTCCATGGAGTGGGGGGATTTAGGTTTACAGTTGGTGATTTGTCTGAACCCCCTCCAGACAGAAGCAGAGTTTTAGCAGAGAAATGTTGTTGTAGTCTCTCTGAGTACAGCCATTTAGCATCTTGCACCTCCTTGCTTGACCATCTTAAGTTTAATATAAACAGCGCCGCCATTGTGAAGCGTGAGCAACAGAGAATTTTTCTTCCCCATAAACGAAACTCCTTCTTGGTCACAACGGTCATTCTGTGTAGATTTTATCAGTCTTTTATTGAGTCTTTTAAGTTTATCTTCTACATGTTGGTTTCACAATCTGACGGTTAAAGACAGGAACAGCCTGAACAACATTGTTCTGAAATCATCGAGTGAAACAGAGAGACCTGAACATCATCTGTAACCAACAAATAATCCGGAAGGTAGCAGGTATTTTAGCGGGACATGCTCTGGCAGGTGAATTCTCTCTGTTGCCTTCTGGGCGTCGTCATGCACTACCTGTGTTCAAGACGAACCACCACTCCAGATCTTCTATCTCTTCCCTGCGATCAGACTTTTAAACTCCTGGTGGGGCCCTTTGTGGGGTTTTAAATGTGCACAGGCTTTTTGTACGTTGTGAGTGTTGTGTTTTGGGTCATGTACTGTTGCAAACATGCTGCTCTTAACTAATTGCCCCTAGTGAGATTAATAAATTGAATTGGACCTTAAACAAATGAACTCTGAGGACACAATGTTCACCTGCTGCCTGATGCATTCACGGACAGGTGACTTGGTGAGCAGGTGGATCAGTGAAGCCAAGTGTGTGTATGTGTGTCTGTGCTTGTGATTCAGTCGGACAGCAAACAGACGGAGCACACACACATTTACTGTGCATGTCAGGACTCAGGCTGACCCTTAAACACTGGAACTTCCTGGAAAGCTTTGATATTCCTGGAAAGTAGCCTCACAGTGACCTCACAGCAATCTGGTGAGGTCATGAAACAGGAAACATGATGTTTACATACAAACATCCTGCAGACGCAGAATATCAGTGAGCAAGTGAGGGAAACGTGTATGCGTTAATAGAATTGAGACGTAGCCAGGACGCAGCGCCGTTTCCCAACTCTGCACCGAGTTCTCCTGCTCCGAAGAAACCCTTATATCATTGCAGGACAACATTGCAGCGGCTGCTGGTGGAAAAAATAGATTATCGATGACTTTCAGTCTGGGTTCATGCGTAACAGACAGACATATCTCTAACAATATAAGGTTAGTGCTCCATATTCTTGACTACTCTGATTTTTTTAATAATGACAGTAACATACTATTTTTGAACTTTCGACTCGGTGCAACATGAGTTCATATTTGATGAGCTTAAGAAATTTGGTTTTGGGGAATATTTCCATAGAGCTATCAGAACTTTGTATGCAAATGGAGATAAAGTTCCATAAAGTTCCATAAAATTTAAGAAAGGCACCTCACCAAGGTTTGCCTTGAAACGTGGTGTTCGCCAAGGCTGTCCAATTTCCCCGTATCTGTTCCAACCCAGCTTCTGACTTGTCATATCAAGCCTAACAATTTGAAGGGTATCGTAATCTCAGGGAAGGAAATTACTATTAGTCAACTAGCAGATGACACTTTTCTTAAAAGATTCATCTCAGATTTCTCATGCTCTTAATATTATCAGTACTTTTCCCAAGGCCTCCGGACGTTGTCTGAACATTAATAAATGGGAACTTATGGCGGTGAGGGGGTCTGACTTACCCTCTAGTTGCAATATCCCTATTAAAGACAGTGTTACAAAGCTGGGGTATTTATGTAACCAAGGATCAAAAAAACAGAGAACTTTTGAATTGTGATCCTATTATTATAGAGAGAACTCAGAAAAAGCATTGGTTAATGAGGGATTTATCACTGAGAGGTAGAACTTGGTTGTCCAAAGCAGACTATATCTCTAGGCTTACTTACTCCGCTGTGTGTTTACATGGAGATCAAAGGACGTTTAAAGTCATTGACAAGATGCTCTTCAACTTCTTATGGAGAAACAAGACCCATTGTGTTAAAAAGTCGACTTAATTTTCCAGATTTCTGTTCCTTAAAATGAACTGGATCAAGGAGTATTTAAAAAACCCAGGTTCGATCAGGTTTTCTCACAAATTGGTGGACTGGAAAGTTTCTGCTTTTATGCAACTATAGAATAGAAAATATTCCTGTTGCCTTATCTAATTTTTATAAACAATCACTTCTTGCTTCAAGGTTCAAGGTTCAAGGGAACTTCATTATCCCAGAGGGGCAATTTGGATTACAGCCTGTAGTAAAAAATACATGTTTCAAACAACAACAAATAAACAAACACAACCACAGTACAACATTTAAATTCAATTTACAGGCTATTATTATCAATGGGGATAACAGCTGGGATGAATGACCTTTTTAATCTATTCGTTCTGTATCTGCGCCCAGATGGCAGCAGCATAAATTCACCCCACAAGGGATGACTCGGATCAGCCAGGATGGCTCTCGCCTTCTTCAAGGATCTGACCTTATACAGGTCATGTAAGTCATCTAAAGGGGTGACCGCAATTTTGCTGTATACCTTCACAACACCTTTCATGTGATTTTTCTGTTTAATAGAAAGTAACGCGTGTTACTTTAGTCCCGCTACAGTGACCACAAGAGTTTCTTTTGTCCCTCTGCTAATGTGGTGACTTTCTTTGTGTTGCAGCTTGTATTGAAACATGTTTATGTTATATTATACCAACAGATTATGCCAAGAGTGAGGGTCAGAAAGACAGACAGAGGTCTGATTCAGCCAGATGTTTTCATGCACATTTTGGAATTACATATAAAAACAGCTGGATAGAAGCATGACTATTTTTACATTATTTTGAGAATTTATATTTGTGTTATAAATACTCATTTTCATATTGTTCATATTGTTGAAGAAATGTTTTATACAATGCATTGACATTGCCAATAAAAAACATTTTGAACAAGTATATGTTTGGGTTACTTTTGAAACATTTGAAGAAACTGTAAATAGATATATATATATATATAAAATGAAAATGTAATTTATACATTTTTTGCAAAGACAAAGGACAAAATACATTTGCAGTTACATATTTACAAGGCCATAGTCACGTATATTTAATAAAAACAAGGGAGACCCAAAAAATCTAGTTGTGTTACTTTCGACCCAACTGATGGGGTCGCCCCTGCTCTCCCATACTCATGGCAGATGTTCCTGGTTATGGCGTTCCATGTACGCACTTCCTGCCTGCATCTTACACCCCGCTGTTATGTGCTGTACTGTCTCAGGGGCATCCTTGTGTAACGGGTGTGGTCGGGTGTGTGAAGGATTACTCCTGGGATCACTTCTTTTCCACGATTTATTGGCTCGCACATCTGCAGAACACAATGCACACATCAATTGCCCCTGGCCTCCTCTTACATTACCTCTGCTTCCCTCAGCGGTGCAAGACGCAACTGAGCGCTTCATGTATTCAAAATACATTACAAAGACATTACTCCAACATCACATGAGTCACTCTGCTCATAGTGTACATAGTGTTCATAAAAAGCCATTAACACTGTTCAGAAAATACTAAATATTAAATGCAACAACATAAAAACAGTACATAGGTTTCCTTAAAACAACATCGCCTAACAGCGACACCTGGTGGTCTGAATAAAAAGTGTGTGTGGGAGGTGACAGAAACAACAAAAGTTTCATTAATAAACAGAAGGAAAACACATACCTGCAGAACACAATGCACACATCAATTGCCCCTGGCCTCCTCTTACATTACCTCTGCTTCCTAAACATACAAAAATACAGCGTTTACTCAAGTGACAAGACGCTGAAAACTCCGACAAGTTACATAGGTAACATGACACGGCCCGCCTGCCGTGGTAAAACTGGCGCCAGAAAGTTAAAAGGAAAACACTGATAAAAACGTATTTTAACGGTCACACTAATACAAAACTGCTACGTGACATAACCATATTTACATGGCACAATTTGTGCTTAAAGTTTTAACGTAAATGGTTCAATTTCCAAAGAAAACAATACATAAACCCAGCAGCACTTTTCCACACAACTTACCCTCAGCGGTGCAAGACGCAACTGAGGGAGACGAGCACTACGGAAGCTTAGGAGGTACAAAAGGGGTAGTGTGCAGCTAAGGACATTTCCACAGGAGAAAAAAAATAGCAAAAATAAATATAAATAAAAATAACTCAATGAGATAAAATTCACAAATATTCAACAAAATCATTAAATGATAAATAAAATCCACAGATGCACATTTGGAAATAAGAATTATTAAAGTGCATTTTTAACTCCGTTACACTCACCCCCACTGAATTT